CTCCATGGTGTTCCTGTATCATAACATAATGTATCCCAGTAATTAAAGCCCAGCTGATATTGGATTAAAGACAGATATTGATATTAGTTTTAAAAAATCTGATAACGTTATATCAAATAATTTTTAGTATCAATGCATAAAATAAACAACCATCACCACCAAACTGGTCCTTATTTATGCAGCGACAGTTCTTGGTACTTGTTGGGCGACAAAGTTATACCCACATACTGGCAATAAGATAAGACCCACTTATACATCAGTAATCAGTTGTTGGGCTGTAATTTTCAGTTAAACTGTTGATTATTTCTGTCAACGATTTGACTAATTGGCAAGTCTATAAATTGACATCCTGCAATTGTTTTTGTCCAACCAACTAATGCAAAACTCAAAAATATTTGCTTTACAGTAGACGAATGGTTTCAAAAATCTGAAGCTGTGTTTAAACAGTTACTGGACTCTACTTGTTAATCAAGTACAGGTTTGACAAATCTAAATAAAGTGGGTTTTGATCTAAACCTGGTCAGGTTAAATTCTGAATAGATTAAATGTTTAAAAAATCTGAAAGTGTGTTTTAAACAGTCTTTGAACTCTCACTGTGAATCTACTCTAATTTAACGGATCTAAGTATAGTGGCTTTTATCGAAACCGTGTCTGATGATGTTTGGATGAGAAAAGCTGTCAAAAAGCCCTTTTTATGTTTTCACAAATAGACAAAAGGTTTCTTAAACCTGAAACTGTTTCAAACAGTTACTGAATCTACTAAGGGGTTAGCGGCAGTTACATTAAGTCAGCGTATCTATCGCTTGCTCGTTCGGACGTATATTTTAAATGTAAACATTAATTCAACACTTTGAACAATACCATGTAACCCAAACCATAACCGGATTACGTTAGCCAGCTACCGTTAGTTACCACTGGCTTGCTAGCATGAGTTAGCTTAGCTTAACTTGGGAACCAGGCAGGCGTTTGTAACGAAGCTAAGAGAGCTAAGCTAATGCTAAATAAACTAAACGTTATAATTAGCTTATCGTATCAGAGACAACCGAGTGCTTTCTTTTCATGAAGACCGTGTTGTTTAGCGGTTACCTTAAAAGCTGTAATATCCTTTCAACTTATCCAGTGTATGCAGCTGTTTCTTATCACCAAATAAGACGCAAATTACTTCCTAGTACAAGCTCTGGTACTTGCCAGAAGCTACCAGGCTTCACGGATGTGACGCTCGAGCTACACCGGAACCGTTGAGCAGGGGAAAGAAAAATGGCGAATCTCGTGGCGGTGACAACCCAACAGCAGTTTGAAGACTTCTTAGCCAAAGCTGGAAAATGCCTGACCGTGGTACATTTCCAGGCGGAATGGGCTCCTCAGTGCGGCCACATGAACGAGGTAATGGCCGAGCTGGCTAAGGAACACATACGCACCACGTTTGTCAAGATGGAGGCGGAAGCGGTGCCGGAGGTGTCGGAGAAGTATGAAATCTCCTCTGTCCCCACTTTCCTTTTCTTCAAAGGGGGGGAGAAAGTGGACCGCCTGGATGGGGCCCATGCCCCAGAGCTGACCAAGAAGGTGCAGCGATTGGCAGTGACCGGAAGTCCGCGTGGAAATGCGGAAAGTAGCACCACAGACCTGAACCAGCGGCTAAAGAAGCTAATCAACGCGGCACCCTGCATGCTCTTCATGAAGGGGTCATCACAGGAGCCCCGCTGCGGCTTCAGTCGGCAGATAGTGGCCCTGCTGAAGGAGCACAACATCCAGTTCAGCAGCTTCGACATCCTGTCCGACGAGGAGGTCCGACAGGAGCTTAAGACCTACTCCAACTGGCCCACCTACCCTCAGCTGTATGTTAATGGAGAGCTGGTGGGAGGACTGGACATAGTGAAGGAGCTGGCAGAGTCTGGGGAGCTAGAGAACACCTGCCCCAAGGCTGTTACCTTGGAGCACCGGCTGAAGACCGTCATCAACCAGGGCCCAGTTATGCTGTTCATGAAGGGCAACAAGGAGGCTGCAAGATGCGGCTTCAGCAAGCAGATACTGGAGATCTTGAATGGCACCGGGGTGGATTATGACACCTTTGATATTCTGCAGGATGAAGAGGTGCGTCAGGCTCTGAAGACCTATTCTAACTGGCCAACCTACCCCCAGCTCTACGTGAAAGGAGAGCTCATCGGAGGGTTGGACATAGTCAAGGAGCTGAAGGAGAGCGGAGACCTGGTGTCAGTGCTGAAGGGGGAGTCCTGAAGGGGGAGTCGTAGGTGGATTTGCCATGTCATCAGAGACAGGAAACAAGAAGCTGTCACATATGCCTAGATCGGCCCTCTGTCTCTGATGCAAAACTGCAGGAGTGCCAGGAAGTGAGAGAAACAATTTGTGAAGAGAAATTAGAGCTAATAATCAAATTACACTCTTCTAACCTAACTGTTGTAGCATTTGAATAGGTTTATGCTCTGTTTAAAGTTAACAATGAAACTGCAGTTAACAATGAGGAATGGCATGGTTTTCATTCTACATTTTCCATATAGTGTTACAAGAAAGTTTTGCTTCGAGTAATCCTTGAAAATACATCTTCAGGAATGTGTAAAGTGAAAGTTAAGTGTTCCCTGTGCTTGGCCTAATATCATAAATCCCTGCAACTAGTGATTGGTAGAAACACCTCCTCCTTGCTATGTGACACTGGGTGGGAATAGTTGATGTTAGTTCATATTATCTGGTGTCTAGGTTACATTTTTCCCTCCAGTATTCACAGCCTTGCACTTAACAGCAGGTTTATATTTAGTGAACCATTATTTGCCTACTACATAGCTGACTCTTCCTGCCGTCCTGTCCAGCTGCTGTCCACGCATTCTTCACCTGAAAGACACTAAAACTGTCTTTTACCATTTCCAAGAATCACTCTGGTTTAAATACTTTAAAACAAATTCTATGTTGCACTTATTGCTTTGTTTCTTCATCAGTAATATTATGATTAAACAATAAAAAAATATCATATTTTGTTGTTTTATGGTGCTCCTTACAAGAATTACTTACTATGTGTGATATCACTGTCAACGGCTCAGATTGAGAGTCAGCAAAATGGTAATTAACAACTGGGAGGGACACTTAACAAGAATGAAAATGCTTTCTGAGACAGTAATACTTCAAACTACAGCCTCAAAGTTTTAAGTCTCAACAAAAATCCAAGTTTAGTTTATTCACATATACAAATTAAAACAGTGAGGCAGTGGTGTGTGTTACTATATATTTATATACATATATGTACATAACACACACACACACACATTTGGCAGTTTATGAGGTCCACTGAGCTAAAACTAATGCCATCTAATACAGTAGTCCAGCAATAAAGCCTACCCTATCTTATACTGCTCTGTTTTTATGCCTTTGTGCTGGCGACAGGCAGAACCAGAAGCATATTGTTTTCGAGTTGTCCGTTCATCCGTCCCATTCTCGGGGACACAATATCTGATGGAACATATTAAAATTTGGCACAAACATTCACTAGGAGTCAAGGATGAACTGATTAGATTTTGGGGGTCAAATGATGTAACCTGAAACTAGCCAGAGAGGCAGGGGCATACAACTACGAGGCGGTAATTCTAGTTATTGAATTGTACTGCATTATACAGAGAGGTTTTCCTGTTATTTAACCTATCCTCATTGATGTAAATAAGGTAGCCAAATGAATGGAAACACCCATCTGCATAATGCAATACTCCACAAACTGCAGCATCCAAAATCACCACAAAGTTGAATCAACACTCCTCTGTTCCAAATCTCTTTTAAAAGCCTCAACACCAATGGAACATTACAACTTTCAATTGTTAAATTAAGTTAAAGTATTCGTATTCATATAAGTCGGCACATTGCAAAGAAACTGGAATCTACATACAATTTTACACTCTGATGTGCGTCTGTAATGTGGATTTTAGCGAGTTAGAGCAAAAACATCTGCTGATATTATTCATTTGGATAAAATCTCATCACCTGGACACATACAGTTCAGTGGATTTAATGCAGAAAGCCCCCGACATTAAAACCGGGGAATTTCTGGAGAAGTCTATACAGGTGCAATGTGTGCAGACAAGATTGTTGTTTGACACCACCTTGTGGAGGTACATGTCGAATTCAAGTAGAGCCTGATCTAAGACCTCATGATAATCTATAAAGCTGAAGGTTGATTAATTAATTAGTCAATCAAAACAAAAGTAATTGGCAACTATTTTGATGATTGATTAAACATTTAGGTAAAAAAATGCTGTCAATTTCCTGGTTTCCAGTTCTCTAATGTGAATATTTGTTTATTTTATTAGTCTTCTTTATGAGATTTTTGTATTTTGGACAAACCAAGCAATCTGAGTACGTCAGCTTGGGTTGTGTGAAATCTTGATAGACATTTTTTACTATTTTCTGAAATTTTATCGAAGCTTGATTAACTGAGAAAATAATCAACAGATTGTGTCATCTGAGTCTGTTCCCATAAACCCGAGACAGACGAGCACTATGGTAGGATGATAAAAGTACAGTTAACTTCAAACACGTAGTTAATGATTCCTGGTAGATGTATGTTGACAGAGCGTGTGGGACTGCACAAGTCAGGACAGAACGAACTCAAACAAATTAGTAATGTTTTTTTAAGGGTTTCTGGGAGTACTTGAGGTTGTAGCATGTTCATTTACAAAGACTTTCTATAATAAACTGCATTTTTAAAGTAATTGAAAAGAAACCATCACCTCCTACATATGATGGTGACTCAGTGAGCTCTGAGTTTCTCCTAAAAGCAGATTTTGGAACATGAGTAAAGCTTGGTGTGAGGAAGGATGATTCATTTTACTATAAATGTGTTTATCCTAGATCTTAACATTAAATGGTGCAGACATCCCCTATTGAACCCATCAGCTTCTGTTAAAGATCAGGGGTATTAGAGCTATACAGGTTAATCATTTACTTACACCCACACTCCTTTCAAGTGACATGTTGAAACATCAGTGTCCTTTATATTTACAGGCATTTTGTTCAGGTTCATGATTAAGTATTGACCCTAAGGCTGCAGTTATGTCGGATGGAGCACTGTCATATTTTCTCTATTTATATAGTTTGGTGTATCAGGCCCTCGTTCCCTGCCCAGTTCCTGAGCAGTTGCCTGCCAACACTATCAACCGTCAGCAGGTGAGAAACCAAATTACATTCAGATTTTCCTGTATCCCTGAGTTTGGTTCCACAGCGTATTATGATGGACTGAAAACATTTTATAATTTCTGTCTCTTGCACTTTGTTTTGGGTGCTTTTTCAGGCAAAATGAATTTTATGACAAATTTCATTTCAAGCAAATTCATTTTACTGTTACTATTTTTAATAAAGTGTATCTTATCAGAGTGAAAGTCAATAGTTCATACTTTCTGCAGACATTTACCACTATAATTATTAGACACCGCCACACTGATGCACTTTACACTCCCTCTGTCTTTTCCTTTAGTGGCCTTTGTCGCAAGTTGTGGGCTCATATCTTAGAATAGTTTCCATCTCTCAGCCGTAGCTGCCACCCCACACTTTTATTCCACCTGTCTGTGTCTGCGTGTGTTGTAGTATCTGGGGAAATGGTACTTTAAAGCAGCAGTCAGTCTAAGAGAGGCTGACATCCAGAAATTCAAAGCAATGGACAACATGTTATTCAGCATCGAGGAGAAAGCCAATGACACACTGCTGCTGACCGGAAATATGCGACTGTGAGCAGACACACACACCCCCCCACACACACACACACACACACACTACGTAATAGGAAACAAATCTCAACACCTGGAAGTCCAATAAAGAGGAAATTAAAGTAAAAAGAAGCATTGTTTATAATGCAAGTCATAATGAGGACAGTTCTCCAAAACTGGTAAGAGATGTTGCAAGAATATTATGATCTCTCTTGAATTTCTGACTTTAACATGACATTCAGTCTGGATTGGTTATTAATTGTATTCATTTATAATATCCAGTGGTGGAAGTACATGGATCCTTTACTCAGATAAAAACGTACCAATAAACAATCTAAAAATAAGCCCTGCATTTAAAATGACCAGCTAACCAGCTAAATGTACTTGATGTATGACAGGGAAAAGTTCTGCAGAGATATGGGCCCTGTGACTGATATACTAATATATTATTAATTAGTATATTATGATGGATTTCATTATTTGTCAGTATCAATGTGTAAACAGTGTTTTACTGTTATGGTTGGTGGACCTAGTTTTAACTACTCTATATACAGTTGGGTAGTTAAGTACAGTGATTACCAAACTAGGGGAGGGGGGCCCCTCCAAGGGGGGAAATCTCTCTTTAGTGAAACAGCAAACATCTCACAGACCTCTGAAACAGTGGGGCCCCAGCAAGAATCTACATTTCCCTCTGAGTTATAGAGAAGTAGCATAAAAAGGAAATACTCCAGGAAAGTAAGAATTGTACTTAAGGACAGTACCTAAGTAAAGTACTTAGATACTTTCCACCACTGACAATATTAAAGTTTTAATAATATAACAAGATTCAAACACGTGTATGAAACTGGTTTTACAGCATGGGTAAAATGAGACAGGGTCATGAGAAATGACAGAAACAAGAAAACCCAGGATTATTAATAGGGACCAGAATTAGGGAAGTGACATTCAGAAAGTGTGAAAGGTGTGAATAATGTGTGTGTGTGTGTGTGTGTGTGTTTGTGTGTGTGTGTGTGTTTATCTTGCAGATTTAATTTATGAAACTGCTTTGAGCTCAATTAATGTCTCTATTTTTACTTTATTTTTTAGGGGAGATAAATGTATGAACCAGACCTGGACCTATTATATATATCCTGAAAGGGATGATTTGGAGCTGGAGGGTAACTACAGTACTAACTGCACACACACACAAATGCACACACAAATGCGCACACAAATACACACACACACACACACACACACACACACACAATAGACCTATAGTTACGGGTTATGGCCTAAGCCAGGTTTATTTTATTTTTTTTAAGACATATTGAAGATGGGAATTTTGTACCAGAGTTTAAATAAAAAGAAAAAACAGATTCATGCCAAAACACTACAGGGATTTAATAATTTTCCCAGAATTGTATTCTTAACACTTTGGGAAAACCCCAGAGCATTTCTGCTGTTAAAGTCAAATCAAGTAAGTTTTATTTATATCGCCTTATATCACAAATTTGCCTTAAGGGGGTTTGTACAACATACAACACCCTCTACTGTTTTTAGTTTTAGATAGGTTTACAGCTTCAGAAACTTAAGCCAATGTATAAATTCTGAATCATGTCATCTCATGTAGAACAAATAAAAGGATTTCCTTTTCAAAGTCACCCATCGTTTTTTCACACTGACTGAACAAACAACTATGGCATACCAGAGCGTATTTCCAAAATTTACTGTTGTTTTTATTGCTGTAGAAACGACACAAAAAACAAGAATTTCAACGGGTGGATATCAACAGGACAAAGAGAGAAAGTACTATATCCAGGACAAAAATAACTGTACATTTCAAATGTGGCGCTCCCAAAACGTCCTAACCCTCTAATAAACCATTGCATGAATAGATACAGTAAGACTCAACTACAACATTTCTTAGTTGCCTACATGTAATGATTTGATCAAGTAATTGACTTAATTGAAAGGTCTTTCAAGTCATTTCTCCAATTTTACTGTCCTGCCTCAGGTCACATTATGACACAAGATATACAAGCAACATTTTCTATAATGACTCTCCTCATAAAAATACCACTGAAAAGACAATTTAAACAGATTTTACCTTTGTTAATTAAGACCAATGAGCTGCTGGGCCCCTACTTAACCACCTATTCCTCAAACCCTCTATGCAATGTGTACAGTGTACTATACTGGAATATAAACGGGCCTAGATCTGCTGTGTGGTAATTTTATTAAACACATAGGGATATGCAGCATGTAAAACTGAAATAATGTAGGTCTTAAATTTAGATTTTAAGACAGGAACCCTCCGTAAAGCAAAGGTTCTGCTGTTACCAGAAACAAAAAAGAGCCAATTAATACCTCAGTACATAACCCAAAGCCCAGGATGCACCTTGAGTCCTTAATGTCAGGTCATGCTGTGCTTTTGTGGTGCATATGTCCACCTTGTCCCATGTCACTTACTGATCAATACTGATGCTCCCTTGCCGGTGTCTTGTGGATTTGAATCAGGAAGGCCGCAGAGGAGGAGCCTGCTCTGGAGCGGCAAATGGGCCAACTGCTCCAACTGCATCATTTTCCAGGAAGTGGAGCCACCGCTAAGCCAAACAGACTCAGTGGACTCCCTCAACAGATTCATGCTGTACGGTAAGCCATCTTAAAGGAATAGGTCACCCCAAAATAACAATAATTTCAGCCTTCTCCCGAACTATTACCTCCTAGTTAAGTTAAGTTCAGTTAAGGCAAATTTGTGAAAACAGCTAATAATGTTTCACTGTTGTTTGGTCAGTTATCTAACTGGTTAGTTGTAGTTTAGTCAGTTAGCTCTCTTATTAGCTGTAGTTTGGTTAGTTTCTTGGAATCAAATAATGTTGGCCCCCAAATCCAGCATGGTGACTGCAGCAAAATCCAGGGAAAAAAGACAAAAATCAGGAAATCGTGAGGTAAAAGTAATTAAAGTAAACACTCCATGTGATTGTTGTTAATGTTTTACATAAATCAAAATGTCTCCTGTGCCTTCACCTTCATCTCATTTTTTTTGGTCAATTACTTTTCCACGCTAGCTCGGCAGGGTGATGTGGACCCTGAGGTGGTGACAACATTTCTGAAAAATTCTGCTTGTCATCAAATGTCGGCAAGTGTCAGACTACCTCAAACGAAAGGTTTGTCCTTTAGACAATTTGGAAATTATTTGGAGAAGATGATGCCTCTGAATCCCAAAATGTTTCTTTTTAAATCTAACAATATTGTATGCATTTACAGAGTTTTGTGCCTAAATCTTAACACTGAGGTATGAACATTACCTTTCACTTTCCTTATCATTTAATGATCTTTCATACCTGCCTTGGTCTGTCTTTGCTGATTGAAATTACAGTCCAGTCTCTCCAATTTCTTACAGGATGTTGCTGTGACCTTGGACGCCCAGGACAACAGTACGTTTATTTCTTGTTTTCCCTGTAAAGCAGTGAAAAAAATAAAAGCAAAAATACAAGCATTTTTTCCTCTTTGTGTCGTTTTATTCTGAGACAAATTATGAGCAACAGCAGTTCTTTAAATATCAGAAAATACGTAATAAAACCATACATATGTGGTGTCACTAAAATGGTGCTACAATGAAAAGTGAAGCTAGCCAATGACGATGTTCTGATTATCACTCTCAGTACAAAGAACCACAGGTGCAATAGCATGAGTTGAGTGAAGAAAAACACCTTTTTGGGTGAGGATCAACATCCACCCAATAAAACCCTGGGGATTTCCCATGATGCCACTGAACAGAAATACCTGTTCACATAACTTGAATGAAGGTTTATTCATGAACGATTCAGTACTAGTTTTGAACTAATTACACATTCAGATGTATTCAGTTTGCTGTAGTTTAATAACAAACCCTCAAAGAAACATTTAAAAAAAAAAAAAATGTGATGCATTCAGCCAAGAAAAATATTGGTTCAATGCGACTTCATTAAAGTAATGTTAAGGATCAGGTTCATATATATATATAAATGACCTTTTTGTTACTTTGTGCTGTAACGTGATTTAATATAGATTTTAATCATACACAGTTCATGAAAGTATTGTTATTAAAATTAGTTTCTGGTCGATTTTCCTCTGAAAAAATTCTCTCCTGAACAGGAAGTGACAGGTGTTTCGTTTACGTTTTTGTTTGCAAGTGTTAAATTTACTCAGAATAAACAGAGAGAAAATAATTCTAGGAGCGACATATTTATGTTTACGCTCTTGTTATCACAGCAACTAATATTCCAGTCACTTCCACATTCTTTATACCTCACTTTGTTCTGGGCCAAACAAAGCACAGCGTGATTATGGAATTCATGTTCTGCTGACACAGCCTAACCATACCATTTATTATGTATTTAGTAAATAAAGCACGGTCACTTAGTAACACGCTTACTTGTGAGACAGGCTGAGGTGGTGGAAATGCTTTGGGAAAGATAAAATAAACTAAATAAATAGATAAATTTAAACTACATCCACACAAAAGCAGAACAAGTGACAAAACAAAAGTTGAATTCCCCTCTTCAGCTTTGTCAGGCTGATTACCTGTGCCGTGTGATCCCTACTTACAATCCAACAGTGGCACTGTGTGACACTGTGGACACTGTGTGTCCATTTGTAATAGAGGAAGTATACTCCGATCCTTTACTTTATTTTGATTACAAGAAGACAAAACCCAGATTTCTTGCCACTTTTACACCATGGTATTATGACATGTGAAAATACATAAAAAACAGTTTGTTCTCGTTTTGACAACGTTGACTTAAAGTGAAGCAAAACTTGAAGAAAATGCAACTCTCACTTTCCATCTTTATACCTTTGTTGCAGGCTCCACACACATCCTGTAATACTAGCCAGACCAATCAGCCTGGTCGATATATTGGCCAATATCTGTTTAATGCAGACATGCCATATCGGCAGACTGAGGTCATTAAGAAACAGTGTCACTATAAGAAGTGTGTCCAAAATAGAGTAAACTTGTACCAGCAATACTTCGGTGTCTGGGACAATAAAAGCAGAACCGTAAGCTCTTGTTAAAAAAACGGATTATTCATCAGTGCTGTGACACAAAGTGACATAATGTTCTCATTAGTCAGAGCTGAACTTCAACATGATATATACAACTTGGTTTTTGAGGGCACGCACTTCTCTCCTGGAGACCACACTGACCTTATGTATTCATTTTATGCCATTTAAAATCTTAATACAGTCAGAGCTTAGTCTGACCTTGTCACTGATCTCCGCATCCTGCATCTATAGTGAGGAATTATGTGAGGGCATTTGATAAGAGGATGGTAAATGTGTTTTTATCGAACACTTTACTCTTACAGGTGAGATGCACAGGCAACAACAGTGAAAAACAGTTTGTTCCCTTTCATGTTTTGAGTGGGGACAGCACCCAACAGCCCACACCCAGCCTGTTTATCTTTCATGTCGCATGTGTAGGTGTATGTGTGTTTGTTTGTCTCTCTCTGCTTGATAGAAATTAGGTGGGAGAAAGTTGGTGACATTTACATAATCCAGGAGAAGACAGACTGGTTAGTTGGGGATGTCCCATGGAGCATGAAACCAAAAGCAGTAAAGTGAAATGGAAATGGATCCTCTCACTCTCTCGTCTCTTTGGCTCACCCTGCATTCTTTAAAGCTAACTGTCAACTTTCACTACTGTTTTCATACTAAAGATTTCTCATCCTCGTGCCTACATTTACATTTAAAATCTTTAAAATCTTATCTTACTGTAATGCAAGTTGCTCTTAACTCGTTACTGCATTACTACTGCCTTCAGCATCTGGGTAAAGGTAAAAGTAGGGCAGGTCCTTCACTGCGGCTTTGCCCACTTTAAAGAGTTCACAATTTTTCAAGCCAGTTTTAAAACGATAAGTCAGGTGCTTATATGAACACTGAAACACTGGTTCTTGTTTGCCGTAATCATTCCTCCTGTTCGTATGGGTCATTAAAGGACAAGGAAATTATGTTCATATAGTACTGAATTGTTTTCCCAATCACTGCGGTTAAATTTAAGCAACAAAAAGGCATGTCTTCTGTATTTAACCAGACCATAATCTTCCCCTAACTTGAAAGGAGCTATTTGTAAGTGTTGCTACTGCTACATAGCCAGCATTAGCATTTACAGTTTTTTTTACTTACCACTCTAGAAGAAAAGTTGTGAGTTCAGCATCACACTTCATTCCTTTACTCGCCAAGAGCCGTCTCCAGAGGTGACGCCGATGTTAACTCGTCTCTATCACATCTTTTCTTCTACTGAAGTTAGCACGCTAACCAGCTAGCCCCAGCCTGTCCTGTCACTTTCCAATAGCGACTCACTGTAGCCTCCAATCTGCGCTGAACACGTAGCGCTGCTCAGAGGGCGTATTAAAACCTCTTGTCTTGTAAATGCAATGATGGCTGAAGCTCTCGTCAAGCGACAATCACCACCACCCGCTCCCAGGAAGAAACCACGTCCGGCAGCAGAGAAAGCTCACAAACAGCCCCTTTAACCAAACACAACTAGGCTATATAAAAAAGTTTAGTAATGCTGTAGTCAGCACAGTGGATATTGCACTGCAGGATGGGATATTTTTGGCAGAAAACAAATGAAACACGTTCAGTGTCAGCATTTCTGGGATGTGCCAGATACATTCATTAACAACATTTCCTCGTTATGTCAATAGAAAACGTTATCAGTTCAGCATTATGTTTCCTGCAAAACTTACTTTCTGTTGCTGCAGGTGTGTAATTTCTAGGGGATAAGTAAGTGTGAGGGTATTCCAGAGTTTATGAGGCTAATATGAGGCTTCAGCAGTCTGAGTTAGTCAGATCTGTGAATAAATTATGAATTTTCTAGTATGAATTTCCCTTTATGCGATACTGCCCCTCCACTGCAGCACAACAAGGAAACACTTCCCGGGGAAACACAAGGAGGGAATTTCATACTACAAAGACTTGTTGAAATCTCATATTCGCTTTGCACAGAGCAAAGACAGTGGATTTTGTTCCCATCATTTACACTAAAAGCTGAAGAAGGAATCTCACCACAGCCGGTATGAACAGTATGAACAGTATGAACAGGAGGAATGATCACAGCGAGCAGAACTGTTCCCATGTTCAATATGGCCGACTGACTCTTCAAGACAGACCATTTTAAACCTATCCTTTAATGGCTGTCAGAACAGCTGGACAACAGGACTCTTAACTGCAAATGTAATAAACCACTTAACTTCTGTAACTATAAAAACATGTATAATTACCATCAGATAATTTATGTCAAACATCCTGATTATGTACAAAATAAATCTCCCCCAAAGATAAGTCTTATCTTTCACTGTCTTAACACAAGCATTGCATTATTTAATGGATGGGTTTTGGCAAATACTGTAGAATAGTGAGTGCTGGTGAGAGACTAAATGATCACAAAAGAGTCACAACAAAACTAAACAGTCAAAAAAATATGATCTGAAATTTATGGGAGGGAATTTTACAGTTGGTTCTGGCTAGATGCTGATATTACAAATCTTACTCACACTCTCCTCTCACTTTGAAATAACCATTTAAAAAAATCCTACACCTTTGTTTCATACCAAATATGGGTTACTCAATTATACCAGAAACCTCAGTAAGATTGAAATTTAAAAAGGAAAAAGACTTAAAATTTCAATTTGAGCAGTTAATTGGTTTGTCAAGGAACAGGGAACCGAAGTGGCTGTATTTAACTTAAGTGTGGTTTTCTATATGTATTTACATTTATGACATTTTTGGGCATTATCATTGTTGTTCCTAAGCCACACCTGCCATTGTGTCTTTGGAGGGTGAACCTTTGAAAAAGTCTGAGGTCCTGAGCACTCTGGACCAAGTTTTTTCACTACCTCTGTAATTTCCTCAATTCAGCGTTCCCTCAACCCTGACCGTGTCCCTGCCCCTGCCGCTGAAAAACCTTTTGTTGTATTGGCCAGCTGATGAGCGGTTCCTGGTTTCCTTCAGACATCCTTCTTCCTTCTGATGCTTAGAATTGAGTTCAAACAATTCAATCTTGGTTTCGTCAGAGCAGAGAATCTTGTTTCTCACAGTCTGAGAGTCCTTTAGGTGCTTTTCCTTGCAAGCTGTTTCCTTGCAAACAGCTTTCATGTGTCTTTCACTGAGGATGCAATGAAGCATCGATGCTGTTGAAGTTTCTCCCATCTTCACACAGGATCTCTGGACCCTCAGGATCTTGGTCATTTCACTTTCCAGGGCCCTTGTCCCCCAGTTGCTCAGTTTGGCCAGGTGACCAGCTTTAGGAAGAGTCCTGGTCGTTTGAAACTTCTTCCATTAAGGACTTACAGAGGCCACTGTGCTTCCACTGGAAGTTTCAACGCAGCAGAAATGTGTGTGTTTGCAACCTTCCCCAGATCTGCGCCTGCAGACAGTTCCTTCCACCACATGACTTGGTTTCTGTTCTGATATGCATTGTCAGCTGAGAGACCTTAAATAGACCAAGTGTGC